TTGGGGTCCCCCGTCGGGGCGCCTTCTTGAAGCCGTCTTGGTGGCCTCTTCGGCCATCTTCGCGGCCTTTTGGACTGGTTGGGGCCCTCTTGGATAGTTTTGGGGCTCTCTTGGAGGCCTCTTGGGCTGTCTCCTAGCGCGGCAAGCCGAAAAGGCGAGAACGCCAAAATCCTTCAAAATCTACAGGAGCATCCATGAATTTTCCCTTTTCGGGCTTTTTAGGAATAGTCTTGGAGGCCTCTTGGGCCGTGTGGAGGGTATCTTTGACGTCTTGAACCGATCGTTCGGCGATTCGGGGCTCTCTTGGACCATGTTGAGGGGCTCTTGGGCCACTCCTGGCTCGTCTGGAGGCTTGCTTTGGTCCTGGGACCCCCGGAGGAGATGGTATTCTGACCCGGGACCCCCCCCCACACTTCCCCCCCCCAACCCCCACCCCCTCCCGCCCCCCTCCCGTCGGGGAAGGGATCAAAGGGAAGGGATTCCCTTCGACTCAATTGCGACGTTGCTACGGCGACGGTTTGAGGTGGGAGACGGCGACGACCGTAAGGCGACGGCGACGACAATCGGGAGGGGAGCAGCGAGGGGGACAACAGCCATGGCGAACAGCACTGGGGCGTCAGCAACGAGGGAGGCAACAACCACGACGAACAGCCCATTCCACACGCCGACAGGGTCGGCGGTTTTTTGTTAGCGCAATTGAAGTATAGGTGTTGTGTCTTGCGTTGCCGCAGACTACATGCTCATGATTGAAATCCGCAGATGGGCAAAACCTGCGGGCAGTGGTGTCGGCCGCTATGTAGAAGCTCTAGATACAGGCCCCAGCAATAACCCAAGCCAAGTCCCCGCGTCGCCGAAGGGGGTTCGGGCCTAGACTTCCAGAGATCCGACGATCTGTTTTTCAGCCTTGGCTGTTCTTTCCCCAAGTAGTGCTTTCACTGAAGTGGTCTATCGGACATTGAAAGATTTGGGTTCCCGGTTTCGGGTTCCCGGGTTCCTGGCGGCTGGTGGCGGGCCGGTTTCGGTGGGCGCGGCGGGGTTCCCGGGGTTCCTTGTTCCCGGGGTCTTGGTCGATTTCCTGATCGATCGGTTTCACCATCGATCTCATTACCCACCTCCCTATCGATCTCACAGTCGGTCGCACGATCGATCTCATTATCGATCTCACAATCGATGTCACTATGGATCGCACGAGCGATCTCACAATCGATCTCATTATCGCTCTCACTGAATCGACTTCACTATCGGTCCCACGATCGACCTTACGATCGTCAGATCGTCACCACGATCGATCCCACCATCGATCTCACTATCGATCTCACGATCTATATCACACTCGATCTCAGTATCCAGATCGCTAGTTTTCAAACCATCCACTGATTTGGTTTTCCTCGGGTATGATACAGTCGGGGTCCTGAAGAAGGAACCCTTTTCGTTGGGGAGGGGCTTCGCGTTCCTTAAGTGTTTCGCAGCTTGCCTCAGATTTTCCCTATGTTTTCGATCGGAGATCGAAGTTTAAATTATGGGAAAAAGGGGCCTCGTTCCTTATTTTGGGTTCCTTAGGTCAATGCCTCGACTGTAGTTCCCCTTCCCTCTCCTTCTTTTTAACCACACAGTGCGAATGCTACTCTCCTCCGTCTCCTGGGGACGTCCGGGAACTGTTCGGCCCCCCTCTCCGCGTATTTTTTTCTTATAGGATTGCTGGGAGATGGGTGTTCATTGAGTTGTTCTCAAAATGTTGCTCTCGCTGGGGCGCTGGCCCCATTTTCGGGCTACCGCTCGTTCCGAATCGCGCTCCCGCTGCAACGCTGGTCTCATTTCCGCGCTTCATTCAGCTCGTTCCGAATCGTGCTCTCGCTGCGGCGTTGGCGTCATTATTTCCAGCGCCATGCCACGGCATGGTTTTCGGTCCTTCCAAGTATGCCCTTAAATCTAGGAAATGCCCCCCCGAAACAACCATCGGAAGTGGCTACACATTCGGTGCCGATTCGATGATTTTTGAGGCCGCGGACCCCCCACCCACTTTGCGGCGTCGCCACGCCATGCTATGTCAGGCTATGCGTCCTCCGAATCGCGCTCCCGCTGCAGCGCTGGTCTCATTTCCACGCTTCCCCTCGTTCCGAATCGTGCTCCCGCTGCAGCGTTGGCGTCATTATTTCCAGCGCCATGCCACGGCATGGTTTTCGGTCCTTCCAAGAAGGCCCCGAAATCTAGGAAATGGCCTCCCGAAACAATCACCGGAAGTGATTACACATTCGGTGCCGATTCGTTGATTTTTGTTTGGCCGCAGACCCCCTCCCAGTTTGGGACGTCGTCGCGCCATGCTATGTCAGACTACGCTTTGATATTCAACATCATGCTATGCGATGTGATGCTATACCCTGCTACGACATCCGACTGTGTGAATGGAGAGCAGATCTGCGTCATGGTAAGGGATGGGAGGGAGGGGTAGGACGTTAGTTATGACGCGAACGCACCTAGCTTGCCCCCCTCTCCATCCCCCTTCTCCTCCTCGTCCTCCTCCTCCTCCTCCTCATCATCATCATCATCATCATCATCACCATCATCTCATCATCATCATCATCATCATCATCATCATCATCATCATCATCATCATCATCATCATCATCATCATCATCATCATCATCATCATCATCATCCTTTTCCTCTTCTTCCTCCTCCTCCTCCTCCTCCTTCCCTTCCCCCGCTCCCTTCCCCTCCCCCTCCTCCTCCTCCTGCTCCTCCTCCTCCTTCTCCTCCTTCCAGTCGCTCCTCTCCCGCCCCGCCGTCGTCGTCGTCGTCGTCCTCCTCCTCCTCCTCCTCCTCCCTATCCCTCTTCCGGTCGCTCCTCTCCCGCCCCGCCGTCCTCGTCGTCGTCCTCGTTGGCATCGTCCTTCTCGTTGTCGTCGTCGCCGCCGCCGCCCACCGTACCACCCGCTGCCCGTCGTCCGCTTCTGCCCGTCGTGTTCGTCGTTCGCCGTCGTCCTTCGTCCTCCTCGCCCCCGTCGTCCTCGCCGTCCTCGCCGTCCTGGTGGTCCTCGCCCTCCTCGCCCTCGCCGCCCTCGACCGCGCCGTCGTCGCCCCGGCCCCGGCCCCGCGCGCCCTCGTCGCCCTCGTCGCCCCCCGCGGCCCCGGGCGGGCCCCGGCGTCGGGGGGCCCTGGCGGCGGCGCGGGCGCCTGGCGCCCCCACCTCCCCCCCCCCCCTCCGGGAGGCGGCGGCGCAGGAGCGCGGCCGCGCGCGGCCCCTTGGGCGCGAGGAGAGGGGGGCGAGGAGGAGGGAGGGCGAGGAGGAGGGGGGGGGGACGGGGGGAGGACGAGGGAGGGAGGGAGGAGAGCCACGAGGACAAGGAGGAGGGCGAGGAGGAGGGCGGCCAGGAGGGCGGTGAGGGGGACGAGGAGGAGGGAGGGAGGACGGCGGGGACGAGGAGGGCGAGCAGGAGGGGCGATGAGGAGGACGATGAGAGGAGGAGGGAGGGAAGGAGGCAGGGAGCGAGTGCTCCTGCGTCCTCCTGCTCATCTTTCCACTCATCGTGCCTCGCCCTCGTCTCCTGCTCCCGTCATCGGTCCTGGGCAAAGCCAGAAATTCGGGCTGTGAACTCATGGCTTTATTGGTGTTCGTTCGGTCGTTCCTCCTATTGCTGCTCCTCGTCCTCCTACACCTCATTTGTCTCATGCTTCTCGTCACCTCTCCTCGTCCTCCGTCTCCACTCCCACGCCTTGACGGGCACGAGCGAGCGGGGGCCACGACGGGCATTCGTATACGGCGCCACAAAGGGCGATAGCGGGCCACTGAGGGCAGCAAAGGGGCCACGAAGGGCAGCGGGGGGGCCACGAAGGGCGACAGCGGGGCTTCGAAGGGCATGCTTATGGGGCCATGACGGGCGCGTGCGAGCTGGGGCCACGAAGGGCATATAATGCGTGCCCACAAAGGGCAGCGACGGAGCCACTGAGGGCAGCAAAGGGGCCACGAAGGGCAGCGACCGAAGGCGACCGCGGAAACAGTACGGGCAGCAAGGGGCATCGAAGGCGGGCGAGGGGCAGCGAGCGGCGACTGCAGTCATTAACGGGCTGGTCGGACGGGCAGGCCCCGACGGGCGGGCGGGTCGAGCGGGCGGGTCGTTGAAGCGTGAGTCTTGCTTGAACCGCCAGGCAATATGTAGCGGGAGCGCGATTCCTGAGTGTCGAGGACCGGCATCTTAATGAATTGTGAGGAAATATCAAGCGAAGCGGTTCGGTGGCAAGCTGCGAGGAAGTTCCACGCGAGAGCGCGATTCTGCAATAAATGGTCAAGAAGTATCAGGCGGGAGCCGCGATTCGGCGATAAATCGCCTGGAGGTCCCAAGCGAGAGCGCGATTCTTCAATACATTGTGAGGAAGTGTCAGGCGGGAGCCGTTGTTGTTGTTATAAACCAGGGGCCAACGACACAGTTTGAGCCCCAAGATTTTCCCGAATGAAAACAGGGTGCGAGCCCCGGGAGGGGCACTTCAACCGGAAAATACAAAGTGCACCGGGCGGGGGGATGAATTATAATTATTCTTCAGAAGTGACAGTTCAACCAACGCACTGAGCAGAATTTTCATTACACATTCCTTATGCAGCCACGCGCCCAGGGACAATAATAAATGATTGTTCGGCCCCCTCACTCTGATGTATATATACACATATTTATAATGCATGTTCCAGGGGTCCTGGATTCGCAGCCGAGGCGACCAGGAATCCCGAAAAACGGTGCGGGGGATGACGAGGATGAGGGGGATGGTCGATGAGGAGGAGGGGAAGGAGCAAAAGGTGGAGGAGGAAGACAGCCCCCAATCTGATAGCCCGTCGAGGTCGTAAGGATCCCTTCCTCCCCTCCCTCCCTCCCTCCCTCCCTTCCCTCCATCCCCTTCCAGCGCCCACCCGCGCGGAGGGATGTGTAGGGCAGCGAAGGACGAGGGTAGGACGGCGGAGGGAGGACGAGGGAGCCCGAGGGCGGATGAGGGGGCAGATGGGGCCAGAGGAGGCGCCGTGGCGCAGGAGCCGCTCGCCCAAGTGCGCGTGTGCGGCCTCACCTCGGTGGGCCTGGCGTACGGCTTCATGCTCGCCGACCAGGGTCTGCTGGTTGCTCCCCTCGAGGCCGATCGCCTGCGCCCTGTCGAGTGCTGCAACTGCTGCTGCTCTGGGTTCAGTGGGCTTCTTGGAGGGGGGGCTGCTGGCGGCCTTTGTGGCCATCCTTGGGGGCGTCTTGGGCCGCCTTCGCCGCTCTGGGGACCGTTTGGGCGAGAAGGTCAACACCACGCTCAAGCTTAGGGCACTCTTGGCCTCTTGGGGTGGGCCTCAAGGCCTCCAAGACAGCCCGTTGGACCCCCAAGGGTGTTGAAGTTGGCCGAGTTTGGCTCTGAGAGGTCTCCAGCAGGCATATGCGTCCCAAGAACTGACAAACTGGCCTTACTCGCTCGAGTCATTCCATGGAGGAGGGGAAGTGGGGGGGGGCTCCCGGGACCCACTCGCCCGCGCGTGGAAGAAATCGCGGGGATTCCTTCGGATTGTATTGCGATTGCCGTCGCGACCACGCGCGCGACACCGAAAATTACGACTACGATTACGTCTACGACTGCCAGTACGAGTACGTACGTACGCACGTACGTGCTCTGATTTTTTCTACTATTGTTTCAGAGCTCCTCCTCCTCCTCCTCCTCCTCCTCCTACTACTACTACTACTACTAGTACTAGTACTACTGCTACTAGTACTAGTACTACTAGTACTAGTACTACTAGTACTCGTACTAGTAATGGTAGTACTAGTACTAGTACTAGTACTAGTACTAGTACTACTACTACTACTACTACTACTACTATACTACTACTACTACTACTACTACTACTACTACTACTACTACTACGACTACTACGACTACTACTACTACGACTACTACTACGACTACTACGACTACTACTACTACTACTACTACTACTACTACTACTACTACTACTAGTACTACTACTAGTACTCGTACTATTGCTACTACCACTACTACCACTGTTTCTACTACTACTACGACTACTAGTAGTAGTAGTACTACTACTACTACTGCGACCACTACTACGATGAGGGCTACTACTACGATTCCTACTAAGGCGGCTGCTGCGGCTACTACGTCGAGTTTTCTTTTTGATACCAGTTTTTTTGTTACGACTACGACGACGACTACTACTACTACTACTACTGCAACTACTACTACTACTACTACTACTACTACTACTACTACTACTACTACTACTACTACTACTACTACTACTACTACTACTACTACTACTACTACTACTACTACTACTACTACTACGACCGACACGGCTATTATTATCATTGAAGGAGCGTGTTCTACCGCTGCTGGCGGAAAACCGGGGGGGGGTCACTACCGGTTCGAACCCCTTCCCCCCCCCCCCCCCCTCCGGAAAACCGGGGGGGGTCACTACCGGTTCGAACCCCTCCCCCCCCCCCCCCCATCATCAAAGGGGGGGGGTCACTACCGGTTCGAACCCCCCCCCCCCTCGAAAACCGAGTGGGGGTGCGGACAGTGGTGGGGACGGTGTTGGTGGGGACAGTGGTGAGGGGACAGCGGGACAGTGGTGGGGACAGTGGGGGGACAGTGGGACAGTGGTGGGGACGGTAGTGGTGGGGACAGTGGTGGGGACAATGGTGGGAACAGGGGGGACAGTGGACAGTGGTGGGAACGGTGGTGGTGGGGACAGTGGTGTGGGGACAGTGGGAATGAGGTGGAAACACTGGGACAGTGGAGGGTACAATGGTGGTGGGGACACTGGTAAAGGCGGTGGCGAGGACGGCGGTGGGACAATGGGACAGAGGTACAGTGGGGACAGTGGTGGGGACAGTGGGGACAGTGGTGGAAACAGTGGGACAGCTCAGTGGGACAGCGGAGGAGTCAGTGGGACAGTGGGGACAGTGGGGATAGGCAGTGGTTGGGTCCGTGGAGACAGTGGGGAGAGTGGAACCGTGGTGGGAACAGTTGTGGGAACAGTGGGGACAGTGCGACAGTGGTGGGGGCATTGGTGGGGACAATAGGGACGGTGGTGGAACCAGTGGGGACAGTGGTGGTGAGGACAGTGGTGCTGGGAACAACAGTGGGGGATGTGATGCGAGCGGTGGTAGGGACCGGGAGTCGTTTGCTGGCGGTGCGTGGGGGGGGGGGGTCGAACCGGTAGTGACCCCCTCCGGTTTTCGAGGAGGGGGGGGGGGGGGGTTCCAACCGGTAGTGACCCCCCCCCCTTTTCCGGATCCGGAGGGGGGGGGGAGGGGTTCGAACCGGTAGTGACCCCCCTTGGTTTTCGAGGGGGACGGGGGGGGGGAGGGGTTAGGGGAGGGGGGGGGTTTGCCGGGGGGGGGGGGGGGGGGAGGGGTTGGCAGGGGGGGGGGGATTTTCGGAGGGGGGGGGGGGGGAGACCCCCGGGTTCCGGAGGAAAAGGTTGGCAATTTTCTACAGTAAAGCGGCGGTGGATCACGCTCTCTCTTATCATTAGTAGTACTACTACTACTACTACTACTACTACTACTACTACTACGACTACTACGACTACTACGACTACTACGTTTACTACTACTACTACTACTACTACTACTACCACTACTACTACTACTACTACTACTACTACTACTAAGATTACCACGATTAAGACGGCGACGACTACAACTACCACTACGATGCCAAGTGCTACTACCACTCGTACTACCACTACTACAACTACTACTCATAGTCCCAGTACAAGTTCCACTATTACGATTACTAGTAGTACTGTTACTACGTCGTCTTACAACTATGTTTACAAGTGCTACTACGCGTTTTTTTTTAATACGGCTGCGACATAGGCTACTGCTACTACTACTATGGCTAATAGTACCCCTCTTAGTTATATTCACTATACAATTGACATCGCGGCTACTGGCATTATTATCCTTACGGTCGCTATTGTCATTATTATTATTACTACTAGTTCTACTGATACTAGTAATACTACTTCTGCGAGTCGTACTACGAGCAGCATTGCTACTCGAGCGACTACTAGTATGACGATCACTTATACTAGTAGTTTTTTGTATCCGGGCTACTACGAACTACTACAACAATAACAACTACCATTGCGACTACTACTACTACTACTACTGCTTCTTCTTCTACTACTACTATTACGACAACGACTACGATTCATACTAATACTACTAATACTACCACCTACCACTACGACGGCGACGGCTAGTACTTTTATACTACTACTTCTACTTCTACTTCTACTTCTACTTCTACTTCTACTTCTACTTCTTCTACTACTACTACTACTACTTCTACTACTATTGCTGCGAGTACTACTACTATTCTTACTACTACTATTACTACTGCTACTGCTACGACGACTACGACTACGATTACGACTACTACTGCTTCTAGTGCTACTATTATTACAACTACAGCTGCTACTACTACTACTACTACTACTACTACTAGTACTACTACTATTACTACCGCGGGTATTACTGCTGCTACTACTACTACTACTACCACCACTACTACTACCACTACTACTTCTACTACTACTACTACTACTACTACTACTTCTACTTCTACTTCTACTACTATCACTACTACGACCGCCACTACTACTACTACTACTGCTACTACTACTTCTACTACTGCTGCTGCTGCTACTACTACTACTACTACTACTACTGCTGCTTTTATTATTATTGGCACGACGATGACGACTACTACTACTACTACTACTTCTACTACTACTACTACTACTACTACTACTACTACTACTACTACTACTATTACTACTACGCTCCCGCGGTCGACCGCACGCTTTTTGCAGGAATCGTGCTTTCGCGTTGGACTCCCTCGCAATTTGTTCAGACGCCGCACCCTCGACGCCCAGGAATGATGCTCTCGCTCAGGTCTGCCTCGCGATTTTCTTGGGACTGGAGTTCTCCTCGCGACTCCTGCAGTACTCACCTTTCAGCAGCACGCCTTCTCGACCTGGCCGCTTGGCCCTGCTTGCCCGTCCCGTCCCGTCCGGTTCTACCGCGTGGTTTCTGGTACTAGCCCCTTACCTGCCAATCCCGTGCTCCATCCTTCTCCTTCCCCCCTTCCATCCCTTCTTGGGGCTCAGACTGTATTGTCAGCCCCCTTGTATACAACAACAGCTTTAACAACAGCAGCAACAGCAACGGCTTACAACAGCAACAACAACGTCAACATCAACAACAACAGCAGCAACTACAACACTAACCATTACATGACTGTTCGCTCTTATTTGCTCGCGTGCCACTCAACCCGTAAAACCCGAACCGTCGGTACCCGCCATTTTGGTATTCGATCGTACGCCCTTGGGGATACATCTTCGTTACCTGTCGATTGTAATTTGCGTAGCCTCTAAAACAGGGAAGGGGGAAGGTTGAAGCACGGGAGAGATTAGCAGGAGAGGGTGCGAAGTGCAGAAAACACGCAACAACACCACACGGGCTGATCTGGCGGGTCGACACAGGTGCGTCGGGGAGGAGGCCCAGGCGGCCAGGTCGAGCAGGGGGTTTGCTGAAGTGTGCATGAGTCTCGAGGAGAGCTCGAACCTAGTAAGCCGTAAGAAAACGAAGATCGAGAGCGCGATTCGTGAGCGTTGAAGTGCGGCGTCTGAATAAATTGCAAGGGCGTCCCACGCGAGAGCGCGATTCCTGCATAGACTGTGAAGAAGTCCCGGGCGACAGCGCGATTGAATAGTAATTGTGTTGAGGAAGCATCCGGCGGGAGCCGCTGTTGCTGTAAACCCGGGGGCCAGGGGCACGATTTGTTGACCCCACATTGTTGTTTCTTTTAAACATAGGATGCGACTTCAATTCAAATACATGGGTGGTCACCAAGCAAGGGGGATCAGCGTTTCACGAAGTCAAGATTAAGATGTCAGCTGCACTGCTTCTGCTACTGCTAAGTTGATTACGATTATGACCACGACGACTACAACGGCACATTTCCAAGACTAGTGCTAGCGCTACTGCTAGTGGTAGTGGCACTAGAAGAAGAGGTAATAATAGTAGTAGTAGTAGTAGTAGCAGTAGTAGTAGCAGCAGC